CCTACCAAACAGGCGGGTCGGTGGAATTAGCAGCGCGAGGTTCCGCAGTTAATGCCACACTAATGCCATGGATTGGATTGTGGCGGTTAAAACTGCAATTAGTACCTTATCAGTAGGTTAGAATAATGATCGCAATGGGATCATTATCGCGCCGCTATGGGGGGGGCGGGGCCGGCAATACGAATTTAATCAGACAAATATCTTACAAATTTCAAAATGCTTCCTTTTTTGGTTTTTTTTTGACACAGAGTCCTCTGTGTGCCCAAGGGCTTGGAATGCAATGGCATAAATCTCCAGCTCACTAGACACAAAAAACTCCTGTTCAAGCGTCTCCTGCCTCAGTCCTCCCGAGTGAGTGTATATCTGTCTCGATGCCACCATGCCCAGCTAATTTTGTGTGTATGTTAGAGACGGGTTTTACCATGTTGTGCTGGTTGTGGCCGCTGCGGAGCTGTGCCTGATCTCGCGCGCGTTGACCCTCATGAATCCGTTGCCTCCGGCCTGTCAAGTGCTGTGGCGATTACAAGCATGAGCCACCGCACCGGCCAAGTTTTTGCTTATTTTTCAGTAGAAGAGAGTGGGGGTTGTCCACCAGTGGGTGTGTTGGCCAGGCTGGCGTCTGAACTGCCTGCCCTGGTGTCCTCAGATGGACCCTCTACCTGCACGGCTCCCAAAGCAGTGCTGGGAATACAGGTGTGAGCCCCCATACTTGGCCCAAAGAATCTTTTTGCTCTGTGTTCCTTTATTTTATTTTTATTTATTTATTTATTTTGAGCTGAAGTCTCACTCTGTCACCGCCCTGGTCCTCAGGTGGATTCCGCACCACCTGGGCCTCCCCAACAAGTGCTGAGTATAGGGGTTAGCCACCCGATGCTGGCGCCCAGATCTTTTTTCCTGTAGCGAGTGCGCACACATGCACATGCGGTGCGCGAGCGCGACGCAGCACCAGCACACACCGCTAAACCAAAATGTCAAGTCTATGAGAAGAGCAATGGAAAGCCATGTGTAGAAAAGAAAAGATTGGGCGACCATGGCATTTTGACCAACCTATCTACAGCTTATACAGGCCGGTGTGTTGAGGAAAACAGCTATTGCTTAACAGATGAGGAAGAGAGATACGAATGTCATGAAACAAGACATGGGGGCATCAAAGACAGAATTATGTTACTTTGGTGGTGTGTTACAGGACTTTCTCCCCTTTGAAACTTAGCAACAATTTTTCCTCTTGTAGCTCAAGCAGCTGCTCCATAACATTACTTTGGATATATTGGTGCCCTCTGTTCTGGAAGATCTGATAGGGACTCGGAAACCTGCTGCTCCTGAACGGTACGCGAAACACCAGAAAGTAAGAGACAGAAACAATGAGACTAAAAGTAAGCACTTAAAAAATCCTTTAAAGAGTGCTGAATTTGGCGTAGAGTTACATGCATAGAATGGTTACATATGATAATGTGTCCTCAAAGATGGTCTCTTTTCAATGCTGTCAAAACTCAGGAATGTAAGCACCTGCTGTACCTCTTTCCATGGTGCTGTTTATATCAGCGGATCCAATTCCTGTGCTCCAGCATTTACTCTCCTCGAGGTTGCTAGGCAAGGATTTTAGAATCTGACTTGTTGTAGGTCCGCCATGGGCAATGGGAAAAGATGACCCTGGCTCCCTTCCCCTCCTATTATCTTTTGCCTTGTATTCTGTGTCTGCTTTTCCACACTCTACGACTGATTTGTGACCCCAGTGTCTAAACAGTGTTTCTAACTGCCCTTAAACTATGTCAACATGCCCCATATATAAAGATGGTCATTGACGAAGCTGCTGGTGATAAAGTAATGAAGTTCAATTCTTTTGTACTCATAAACCTTGACGGGCAGATGCGTAATAGAAAGTTAATTTGATGAATTTTTACCTTCAACTCTGTTACAGTAGTAAAACTAATCTTAGCCCCCTGTAGTTTCTGAAAAAGACTTAGTGAGAGAGGCAAGTTTTGGAAAATCAGTCATCATATATGTGGTGTGTGTGGTGTGTATGTATGTTTTTTTGTTTTTTTTGTTTTTGACACGGAATTCTTGTGCCATAAGCTG